AGACAAAACGAAGAAAAAAAATATCTTTCTTACCTGGTTGAACTAAGAAAAAGACAGAAGAAAAAGCAAATGATGGTTTGCTAAACTCAAAGACAATGAAATCAATGGCAGTCTCCAACTTTGAGTTTTCATTTTTCACCATGAGACTGGACTTTGCCTCCAAAGGAAAAAAACAGATAAGGGGACATAAAGAGAAATCTAAAGTCAACCAACTGTACAGAAAAAAAATGAACATTTGAATGTGCAGGTAGATTTTCAGACTTTTTTATTGAAAATAGAAGGAAGCCAAGTCTTGAACAAAAACGGGCTGTCTTCCTTTGATATTAAGCTACATTATTTTCATTCTTTTTATTATTTGAGTAGTTTTCTAGAATATTAGTGTTTTCGTAAATCTTTATTGCCTTAATTTTCTCAAACTTTGGGGAAAAAAAGTTTCCAAGTGTTGAATTATTTAAAAAAAGGACTGAGTTGTTGAATGATTTTTTTTTTAAAGGGTTCTTTGAGTTTGAGAGCCTCAGAAATGAAATCTACAAAGCTATCTGTATAAGACAAAAAAAGGTTGTATTTGTATGAAGGTGATTTTAAATTATGTGGTACAGTGCAGGTGATGTTGGTTGACTAGGGGGAAAAAATCCTTTTACAACTTGTGGGAGCGGTCAGCCCACCGCTTCCTGGAAATGCAGTTTAGTTCAATCATGGGAAAGAAATTCAGTTTCTCCACCACTTATTTTGTATTTTTATTTTTTCATTGCGGTGCTTTTAAAAGTTTTTCCTTTGCCTGCTTGCTTGTCTCATTGCAAAAAGAAAAAGGAACATTTCTGACTTTGAGAAAAAGCAGAGAAAAAAAAGCTAGGATTTTTAAATGTGCAAAAAGCAATAGTTTTAGTAAAACTGTTGACAGTTTCTTGAGTCTTTCTTAACTGTTGAACAAAAATACAGCCCGCGGGTGGCATATTTTATACCAAAGATGAAGAAACTAAGTTGTAAAGAGATCTTCCTGTTGCTTTTTCTTAATTTTTTCCACTTTGAATCTGCTTTTTGGTTTTTGTCAAGCTGTTGCTGTGTGAAATGATCAGTGAATGAGAGCATGCAGTTGGTCCTTTAGCACATTTGCCTCAATGGGATGAGATGTTTTGTGCGTCATGTGATCAAACTACCACCGCATCTAAAACCCTGTGGAATCCTGGTGAAAAAGCTACTTTTTATTAGACACCCAACGACATCCTGCCGAGGCCTCATCGACTGACCTTACATAACAACGCCGAGACGGCATAGCTCGCGATGAATGCTTCCCAAAATATGACAGATGTCATTGTTTTGCATAATCTAAGTCCAACTCACTGTTTTGTCTCGTTCTTGCCAAACACAAGCCACTGAAAATATGAGCAGGTCAATGATCTCTGTGAGAGGAAAGGGCATTCCTGTTGAACGAAATGATTTCAGCTTATATATATTCTCCTAAAAAAATAAGGAGAATTACTTTTATGTTGCCTTTACTTTTGGGGGTTTTTTTTCTCTTTTTGATGATTATGTGTGAGCTGCTAAACACTTTTCAGTATTGGGGATTGAGGTTGTCTTATGTTGGGTCTCCGTGGAATATTTGCACCTCCAGAGTGACTGTAATTGATCATTTTAAGCAGAATAAAGATGAAAGAAACACAAACGTGCATTATTGTGCCTAGAGAATATCGGTTGAGAACAGAAGAAAACTTAAGATGAACTTTAACTGGTCACGCCTTCGAAGACTCACACGCCTTGACTTTCCACCAATGAAAGGAAGCTAAGGAGAGACACAAGAAACAAATGGACATAGGAGAAAACAAAATTGGTTTAACCAAAATCAAATGGATAGAAAGCTCTAAAATAAACAGGGGTAGGGAGTGAAAGAGAGAACTCAAAATCAAAAGTAATATTTATAAGATCTTTTTTTTGTACAGGTGTGTACAAGAAGATGCAACAGAAGTAACTTAGCTATTTTTTTATTTGCTTGGTCACATGCCTCCCATGTCTTTAAAATTGTGATTTTTGAGAGTGTCTGTAGAACCAGTGGATATTCCTGTAGCTTCAGATGTGTCTTTTTGTTTGTTTCTTTGTTTTATTTTCTTTTTAGTCGAAACTTTCAATAAAAAATAAGAAAAACGAACTCGTCCTGGATATTCTGCAGGAACAACACACTACCACTGGAGTGCGCTATTGTTTTCTGTAGAAGGAAAGGACTGAAAGTCCATTGGTGTGCACGTGTGCAATTTTAGTAAGTGACCAAGTTAAGTTCACACACGCAAAATGGTTTTAACTGCTGTAAAGGATTAAAAACGTTTAAGCGTTTAGTTTCACCAAGCGAGATTATGAAACTACAGCTCCAAAAGATGCAGTTAGTTGAGAAGTTTATTGCATACAGTACTGACAAGAGAGCTCATTATCGCCAAAGCAGAAACGGTGCAAGCAGTCTGCATCAAATGACAATCATGCATCATTTTCTCCAGTGCAATGACAACAAAATGTCAAGAGACAGTTTTATTCATGCAGTTTAGTCATACATCATACTTGCTGTTCCTGTGAACAAATTACTGTCATGAAATCTTTATTTTTATTCATCTTTTCTTTATAAAGAAATAATAAATAACCAGGAAAGTACCAAAATATTACTTTGTAACAGTTGCCAGTTTCATCTACCAGCTGAATCAGCAGGATGTAAAAACAGTGTTTCTGCTTCAAGTCCATCCATCCATCCATCCATCCATGTGCTTCACCACTAATGGATTGTCATTGCTAACAGGGCTTAATTTTTCTTTTCCCAACTGCTCCATTTATACAACTGAATGAACCACTTGTGTACAACTATCCAACAATACTTTGCTCAGAATGCAAGCCTTTTATAACTCACTGCAGCAATATACGACTATGATGCATTTAGTTAAATCAAGAGAAGCACGTAGAACTGCTGTAGCACTGAATGACTTTCTGTGATGACCAAATTAGTTAAGTAGGTTGTATGTAAATAATTTTAAACTGATATGAAACTAATAAGACAACGGCATCATTTATTAGGGAAATGTTAATTCAAAAAAAGCTATAGTTGTGCGCTTAAAGTTTGGCAAGACCATACACAATATAAAACAATACATTAAAGCTACAGTACAACAATTTGCTACCATTTTCAGTGCTATAACATGTAAAATGCAGGGAAAGAAACAGTAACTCATGCTCTGGTCTAAAGCGGGCGTTCGACTCATTTTGGGAATTTCACAACAAGAACAAGCACATGGAGACTGATGGATGCTCTTATATTTTTGTGCCATTTAGACAAACACTATCACTATTTTGTTGAGCGCAGTCAACTAAATAAAAAAAAAAAAGTACATAAATTTTTGTAAGATTCCCTGAGGTAGAGAATGAAGAGTGGTCTAATGCTTTTTAAAGCTGCTTTTACATATTTTATCTGAAGCTAAAACCCTCAAAGATGCCAGCACAACGTACTGCATTGATTTTGAGGCTCTTCAGTTTTTTTTGTTTTTTTTAACTAAAAGCTAGTTCATGTCTCAACCTGAATAATAACACATTTGATTGTTAACGTCCAGTCCAGGCGTCTTGGCACATGCAACTGTAGGATTCTCCGAACCTCTTGCAGAATTACAGTAGTTCCCAGGCCTTTCAATAGCCAGTGATTTCCTCTGTAACCTATGCTCTCAGTAGCAGGTGCGAATGAAGATGATGAAAACTAAGACGGCAGTCATAATTGTTAGCGCCGAAAATAGAAAGATGAGGCCGGCAAAGACGGGGTTTGACATAGGAGGGATTTTCTTCACTTCGGAAGGAATCATGTTGGACATACTCAGCATGTAGCCCAAACTCCAGCCTATATTAGTTTTCTTTACCTACAGGAAAAGAAAGAAAACAAGTAATTTGAATGTTTTATATTTAAAACCACTTGCTTCCAACACCAGTACACCACCTTGCATGTCAGCGGAATGAAAATCATGAAATTGTATAATTACAGCTGTAGGGCAAAAGATGAGTCATAGCACCCAAAGAAGAAGAAAAAGAACAGGCTGTCTCGTAACTCAAAGTCTTGAAAGAACCTATCAAGCAGCAGACATCCCAAACTGCACACTAACGCCATTGTTGGAAATTGGGAGAATTGCCAGCTGTTAAAAAGTCTTGTCTTGAGTGCAAAAGGCCGAACGCTCTTTGCAGTGTGGAAACATTGGCTGTAATCGTTCGTCCTTTATGAATCATGAGTAATATACAGAGTGTCAAAGACCAGGAATCCCCTTCTGCTGAGGGAGTTTCTTTGTGACAAATTGATGGCATGCCTTCTGCTCTTTAGCTTTTTCATTGCAGACTATTCCTACGACATCAACAACAGTTTCAAGTGGGTGGCCTCATTCACGTACGACTGCCAAAGGCAGTTAAATGGTTTCCTGTATTTGAACATGTATCAGCTGTCAACAGCTTTCCAAAATAACTCTCACCAAATTAGTACATCTTACAGTTATATTTCAAGAAGAATTAGCGCACAAGCCATCCATAAACTTTGAACAATGGGAGGATTGTAATGTACTAGCCTCATAGAAGGCAGTAGTGAAACTTACAAATAAAAAGAATACTATTTGTGTCTTATTTACTGCTGTTTAACCAACCTGTTGTTGAAAATTAATGTTTTTCCAGGTGTCTGTGTCGAATTTGTATCCATCTGCCAGCAAAGTAAAGACGTAATGACCTGCGTAACAGTGGGTCTCGATGAATTTGACGTTCTTTTGTGCGTTCAGCTGAAAGAAGGTTGAACAAAGATCAGAGTTTAGCCTGTGATTGTAATGACACAAGCTAATTGTATTAATTTCAGTTTAATCCCATTTCAGTGAGAAATAACGATTATTTAATCAAGATCATGAAAATATTGTGTAACAAAGACGGAGTGCAGTTTATTTCATTACCTTTATCCTGAAGTAACTTTGTTTCTTTTGCACAGCTGCACTCTAC